GGGACATTGAGACATTGGGGAACATTGAGGGACATTGGGACATCGAGGGACATCAGGGGACATCGGGGGACATTGAGGAACATTGAGGGACATTGGGGGACATTGGGACATTGGGCGACATTGAAGGACAGTGGGGGACATCAGGGGACATTGGGGACATCGAGACATTGGGGAGCATTGAGGGACATTGGGGGACAGGAGGACATCGGGGGACATGGAGGGACAGTGGGGGACATCAGGGGACATCGGGGGACATTGAGGGACATTGGGGACAGTGGGGGACATTAGGGGACATTGGGACATCGGGACATTGAGACATCAGGAGACATCAGGGGACACTGGGGGACATCGGCGACATCAGGGGACAGCGGTGTCACCTCCGAGGGACAGCCGGAGGGCGCCGGGAGCCGCCGGTTGTCCTTGAGGAGCTCCAGCAGGTGACAAACGATCTGTGCGGGCCGGCCCGAGCCCAGCATGCGCAGGAATTCCTGCGGGAACACCGGGAATGCGCTGGGAAACACCGGGAATGGGCTGGGAAACACCGGGAATGTACCGGGAAACACCGGGAATGTCCCGGGAAACACCGGGAATGGGCTGGGAAACACCGGGAATGACCCGGGAAACACCGGGGATGGGCTGGGAAACACCGGGAATGCGCTGGGAAACACCGGGAATGTCCCGGGAAACACCGGGAATGCGCTGGGAAACACCGGGAATGCGCTGGGAAACACCGGGAATGGGCTGGGAAACACCGGGAATGGGCTGAGGAATGGGAATGAGCTGGGAAATGGGAATGAGCTGGGAAATGGGAATGTGCTGAGAAATGGGATATCCCAGGGAAACGGGAATGTCCTGAGCACTGGGAATGTGCTGGGCACCGGGAATATCCCGGGCACTGGAAATGTCCTGAACACTGGGAATGTGCTGAGGAATGGGAATGAGCTGAGAAACGGGAATGAGCTGAGAAATGGGATATCCCTGAACACTGGGAATGTGCTGGGGACCGGGAATTTCGTCCTGAGCACTGGGAATGTGCTGAGAAATGGGAATGTGCTGGGAAATGGGAATGAGCTGGGAAATGGGAATGTGCTGGGAAATGGGAATGAGCTGGGAAATGGGAATGAGCTGGGAAATGGGAATGTGCTGGGAAATGGGATATCCCAGGGAAACGGGAACAGCCCCGGGCACCGGGAATGTGCTGGGCACCGGGATGGCCACGGAAGGCCGATCCCAGAGGGAACGGCCGCTCCTTTCCCGGGAGAATCCTCACCTCCGAGGGGCTCCTGCTCTTGGAGCTGTAGGTGAAGAGCTCGTAGAGGAGCACCCCGAAGCTCCAGGCGTTCGACGCGCAGGAGAAGACGTTGTCAGCCAGGGATTCCGG